CAGGTTGTCGAAATGTCAGTCAGCATCAACAACAGTCCTATTCAGGACTATTGTTCACTATGAAACGACTCCTGGGTTCAAACCTTTTACAGTGTTTCATATGTTGTGGACGGTTCCAAATGCATATCTTGTTGACAGTTTCTTCTGTTATGTGTACTCTGCAGTTGTGGGTTTCCTCCACACACATGTCAAGTTTCATGCACAGATGGTTAAGCAGTTAGGTTTCTGTCCTAAATCTTCAACTGCACCAAATAATCCTGATGGGAAATTAAAATAGGTGTTGATTTTTCAGTACCTAATGCCTTGGTCATTACAGTGGAACTCCGATATAATGATTCTTGATATAACGATGTAAGTAAGTAAGTAAGTAATAACTTTATTTAACGAGGGTAAAGACATTGATTACTGGTCACCCAGTAGTTTTCATAATGGCCCTCCTACAATTAAAGTAATAAAAAGTATCGATTAATTAATTAACTACCAATATAATCTACCAACGATGAATATTCTATGTCCTGGCAAAAGTTACATTGAAATGTATGGGACAGAACCCTGATATAACAATCGTCGATATAATGATATTCCCTATATAACAATGACATTTTAGTGGACTGTATGTAAAATCTGTCCCGATGTAACGATATTATCACAATTCAAGCAAAATATTGAATTTAATACAATAACATTAAAAAAATAGAGTAATCTCTGTCAACTTACTTGGTGTACTTGGGCTGTACATTATAACTCTGATAACAGAAACATTGAAACAGAAATGACTTAAGAAGGACTGTTGCAAGTGTGTCATGCACAATAATGCATTACTTGCTGGCCTCTGTCTGTTTTTTTAAGGAAAAACAATGAATTCGCAAACTCGATACGCAGAGACGAGGAAAGTTGCAACTTCCAAGTGTTTAAGTTTAGTTTTGTTGCTCTTTTATGATTGAAACCACAGAACATACTTTGTAAACTTTAAAAACTTATAGTACTTTGCAAACTGTTTAAGGACATTGCTGGGCACTTGAAATGTTAATTTGCAAATCATTTGATATTTATTACAAATAATATTTAGTGAAATAACGTATGCAGTAAAAAAGTACATTCTAGGTTTACTCCAGCATTTATAACAATATTTTCAGTTATTTTACAGCCATATCATTACATCAAGAGTTTCGATTTTACGATATAATTTTAATGCTCCCTTGGCTTGTCGTTAAATTGGACTGTATGTTGACATTTTCCTTAGGATGGACATTCAAATCAAGGAGCCACAGCCAGTAGTGGTAACACAGAACCAGTCAAAACTGAATCAACTACAACAGAGGATGCCAACAAGGTAATAACAGCATGCAAAGAAAGTCGTGTCCGATAGCTAGTGGATTTTGCCATCGGGCGAGTGATTTTTGTTCTTGACTTGCCTGATGGGCAAGTGCTGTTTTTTGGGAAAATTCAAATTACAGGATTGTAATCAATCCTGCTAATCAAAAAGGGTTTTGGGGCTGGTTGAAATGACTTGTGGGCTAGTTCATGCTAGCTACAGCTTCCCCGAATGGCAGGCTGTAAAACTGACTTTCATGGCACCCTGAATAATAGCTGTATTACATGTTAAAGGGGCAGGTCACGGCAGCCCAGTTACTTTTGTTTAATTTTGCCAATTAATCGCCCTCAATCGTTATGGAACTTAAAGTAAGCAAAGAAATTACATGTAAATGACAAAATCAGAGATCCGAGAAAAACAAATTTGTCTCCTGAGCATTATTTTTGAAGTTGCAAGCAGCAGGGATCAACTTTGATAAACTGTTAGGCTGAACAGTTTTCAAAAACCCTATTAAATTTCAATCTGTTGCAATCTTCTTGAGTTTTACCCATCCGTGGCATCTGTTGTTTCTGTTAGGTTATTTTAACCCTCCTTTAAAGTTTTAAGCAGTTATTTTTATGTTTCTCTTAATTTAACGGGCATTTTATAATTTCCTAATTTGGCTGAATTTCATGACACAACTCCTTTAAACCTCTTCACGACAAACCTCAAAATGCACTGTTTAGTATACAGTTGAACCCCTATTAAGTGGTCACCCTTTTGGAGCTGGTAAGTGGTTTGAGACTTAATGGACTTTCATTATAAACTGGTATAATGTGAAGCTGAAACAAAAAACTGAAACATCTTTACTGATCCATAATAAGGCACCACCTTCTTTCATGGGCTTCATTTCCATCGTGGCCAAAAGTTGTATGCAGAGCTGCTTAACCCTTTAAGTCCCAATTGTGACCAAGATCAATTTTCTCCTAACAATATTCATATGTTATGGTTATGAGAGTTAATAAAATGATCACCTAAGAGAAAAGGCTTTGATCTTCTACCAAATGCTCTCAACTTATTCCTTAAGGAAATGTAAAAAGACCAGTTTAGAGAATTTGTATGTGGATATTGGGGCTTAAAGGGTAAATAGAGGTTTAATTTACTATTCTCTCCTACAATTATTTCTGGACTTTGATTACTGTTTGCTCTATGGAGGGTCGCCACTTAAAGTGCCCATCACCTAAATTTTTTATTTTCTTATCTGAAACTACGCGTTATCAAAATAACTTCTGCGAAGAATTATTTTGTGATTTGAACGAAAGACGATTTTTCTACAATTTTTTAAAAACGTTCAAATTTTCCGCCATTTTGGCACACCATTCGCCTTAGTCTTCTTTCGGGGTATGATGTACTTTAAGGAACACGTGACTTTATCGACAGGAAAACATTAAAAGTTCTGGTAGGTTTTTCTGTTTCAGAAAAACTTTCTTGTTGCGAAGACATTGTGAGGGGGGGTGTATGCCCCAAGTCTGAATTTCAAAAGCAGTCATTTTACTTTTGTATTTGTGGTTTTCCTCATGCATCGTTGTCGGAGATTCAACCCATCTTCACGTCGTTTTTTGTCATTTTGCCTGTCTTATGTTGCTGCTTCAATGCCATACATGTTGCTTGTCAGCATTGTACCCTAACAGGGCCACAATAGTTTAACATCAATAGTAATATTTCTACGACCTGGTATTTATCAACAATGTTTTCATGGCAGCAGCCAAGTAGTTTAACCCTTTAAGTCCCACGAGTGACCAACATCAATTCTCTCCTAACAATATCAATACATCATCAAGAGAAATAGTAATGAGAACCAATAAAATGATCACCACAGGGAAAATGCTTTGATCTTTTATCAAATTCTCTCCACTAATCTCAAAGGAAATGTATGAAGATCAGTCTGGAGAGTTTACATGTGGATACTGGGGCTTAAAGGGTTACAATCCTTAGGTCAGAAGGAAAAACAATGAATTATCACCAGGGATAAGTTCCACATGGGTGAAAGTGTTTATGAACCTTTTTTGTTACTATCATTTGTCTTACTTTTTTTTACAGGAGGCGATAAAAAAGAAACTGGAAATTCAGAAACAGAAACAAGAACTACTCAATAAACAGATCAAAGAACAGAAGGTAAAAATTATGAATTTTATTGCAGCCATCTGCCTCACCACTTACCCCCTTCACATTTGTTGGGTATTTCTTAGACTGCTTGCAGCCCACCTTGTCTCTCTTAGAACTGTCAAGTTCGTAGGGAGAAGAAACAAAAGACTTTTAACCAAAAAGGGAATAAGGCAAGACAAAAAAAGACAGATTGCTGACTCTTTTGGAGTAAACAAGCTCTCCATCACTCAGTATGGGATTTTTTAATGTCCTATTGCATGACTTTACTTAACCCTTTAAGTCCCAATAGTGACTAACTGCAATTTTCTCCTAACAATTTCCATACACTGTCAAGAGATAAAGTTATGAGAATTAATAAAATGATCATCATAGAGAAAATTCCATGATCATTTATCAAATTCTCTCACCTAATTCTTAAAGAAGATGTATGGAGATCAGTTTGGAGAATTTGTATGTCGATATTAGGGCTTAGACAAAATTGACCTGTCACATTGAAAGTGAAAACATTTCATGTTTGAAAATTCAGTTTTACTGTATGCTTAATACTTTGTTTCTGGTTTTCTTTGCCAGCTTTTAATCTCCAAACTTGAAAAGAAGAATCTTAGTGCTGCAGAGAAAGATATGATAGTGAAGGTATTATAATCCTCTCACTAAACAGGGTTCATACAGGTCATGGAAGACCTGGAAAGTCATACAATTTAAAATTAATAAATTATTGTTGGTTCTGGAAAGTCATGGGAAGTTAAAGTTAATTTTGTTAGATTAGCTACTACAGAATGTTAAAAGCAACCAGATTGTAAGACTTCTGCCAGAGTTAAGATCAATAAGTTAAGCTTAGCCCAGGTTAAGAGACTTCTTAGGGATTACTATACCGCCGCCCTATGGACTTGCTATAATGTAGAGGACCCAGAACATGGAAAACAATTTGCCTAAAATGTAACTACGCTCACACTCTAACTAGCCGCGTCACCTGCTGCTTTTAGCCTTTCCATCTAGCTTTTCTTTTTGCAATCCTAACGTTGCTTTTATTTTTGATTTTTTGTATATGAGTGTTATTTTTTTATTATAATTTTTTTCTTGGCAAAGCTTAATAAATACATAAATAAATGAAACGAGTTGCAGAACTGAGTTAGGTCAAAAATAAATTCCTAAATCAAGGGAAGTCTTAAAAAATACTTAAAGCAAAAGCTAAGCCTAAGGTCATGGAAATCTTTAAATAGGTCGTGGAAAAAGTCCTGGAAAGTCGTGGAATGTGAAGAGCTCAACAGGGTACGAACCGTGTAATAAAGTATTTTGTATTCATTGCAAAGTCAGAGTATAGTATGGGGGCATATTTATGTCACTTGTTACAACTTATGTTTCATATGTCTTTGCTTTTTATTCCAGACAGTAAAATCTCTAAGTTCAAATATTGAAGCACTGAAGAAGGAAGTTGAGTTAGCAGCTATGGCAGCAAAATCCAAAGAAAGTCCCTCACAGGCCCGACAGATTGTAAGTACAAACTGTGTAACGATAAATTAACAGTTAATGAATGAGGCTGAGTATCTTATAAGTAAGTAAGTAAGTAAGTAATTTTATTTAACCACATATTGCATATGAGCGATAGCTCGTTTAAATGCAAATGTGCCATAAAAATTACAACGTGATAATTTACATAATCTACATGTACAAGTAATGAATAAAAATAAAAAATAGAAAAATTAAACCAACTAAAAGATAATAATAATTTAAAAAGAAAAAATATTGGTAATCAGATTGTCTATTTACAAAATTCACAGTTGCAGTCATACGATGAAGACAACTGTATGTTTTGTAAGTTTTTCCTAAAGATAGAGAGGGACTCCGACATCCTTATTTTGTCTGGTAGACTGTTCCATTGTTTGCCAGCCTGGTACGTGAAAGAATGTTGCATATAAGATGAGGTCGGTCTTGGAAGAACAACCTTAAGATGGCCCGTAGGCTGTAACCATTGCTTCGCAGTAAAAACATTTCCGAATGTAGTTCGGTGCCTGGTTATAAATGCTATTGTATACAAGTATCAGTGCTTGTTCTATCGTCGATGTTCCAAGTTTTTGATATGTACACTTTTAAGTAGCTCTTCATAAGCAGTCGACTTGGAGTAGTTAAGAAGAGTCCTAATAGCAAATGCATTGGTTGACTCTAGTTTTGCAGACAAACCTTTACTTAGACCTATGAACAATGGTGATGCATATTCAAAGTGAGGCAGAATAAATGCTTTGTACAGTTTAATCATAATATCTGAGGGTATAAGTTTATTTAATGCGACGAAGAATTGAAACTTTTGTGTTCACTTTCCGCAAATTTCTTTAATATGTGCTTTAAAAGAGAGTGAATTGTCGATAATTACACCAAGGAGTTTGATCTGTGGAACGTAATCCAGTTCATTGCTGTCAATAACAAAGGGCGTTGGTAGAGTTGCTCTATTGAAGACGATGGATTGAGATTTACTATGGTTGATCGCTAGGAAGTTCTTACAAAACCAGGAAACGAGTAGACCAAGGTTGTTTTGTAGATTTATTTGCAAGGTGGATGGACAAGGGCTTGAAGAATACCCGTAGTGTCATCGGCATAGAATCTTAAGGAGCACGAAATATCTGAAAAATTCGCATCATTCATGTATATATTGAAGAGAAGGGGGCCCAAGATTGAACCTTGAGGAACTCCACACTTCATAATTTGCCAATCTGACAGGTTACCGTCTATCTTGACATGTTGCTTTCGGTCAGTCAAGTAAGAACGTAGAAGTTGTAGGGCGTCTTCAGTTACACCGTACCCTGACAGCTTTGCAAGAAGCAAATTATGGTTAATAGAGTCAAATGCTTTGGAGAGGTCTATGGTAATTGCTGCAGAGTGCTCGCTAGAGTCTAAATTTGCTCTAATGTCTTCGCATGTTTTGAGGAGGGCTGTTGTACATGAATGTCCTTTCAGAAAACCAGATAAATTTCCACTGAGGAAGTGAAGGGAAAACTCGTATAGCTGATCAAAGATAACTCTTTCGGCTATTTTTGAAACAGCCGATAACACAGATACAGGACGGTAATTAGACTTCATAGTCTCTCTTATGAAGAATAAATGGAGATCGAGGAGGGTGTTGTCCGTCGAGGCCGTAGGCCAAGGCGGATAACACCCTCCGAGATCTCCATAATTCTTCATATGATACGAAAGCCGAATTCAATAACTGTTTTATTATTCATTCAAAATAATTCCTAGTTTAAAAACATAGCTAAAACATGCTTACCTCCATCGATCCATCGATGTTCAGTTCATCTTCGATAGTGTACGTTTAGGTTTGTCCAGCTCTGCAAATATTCTCCAAATAGCAGATGTCGCCCTTTGAGTTGTCTTCTTACTGTTCTTGCCATGTTTTAAACTATTTTTTCGCCTAGTTCTTACTCTTGAAACGAGTGAAATGTCCGCCATTTTTTCAAGTTCACAACCAAAACAACTCAACCTCGTCCCCAGGTCTTCTCGGTTATTTGTGCCTTAACCTGCGAAAACACTGCATTTTTGACGTCATTTCCTCGTTAAAGTCAAAATTCTTCCAAATTTGGTCATCAGTAACTGGTTATGGTGAATTAAACGTGTGCTTTTAGCCAATCAGAATCAGGGAAATATTTTGAAGGAATAATAATATACCTTAAACTGATTGGGTTTGAATCGGCTGAAAAGCAAACTTTGTCACCTGAATAAGCATACAATATGTAATTTTTGCAAAGGGAAAGCCTGCAAAATATCGAGGCTTTGTGAATGGGACTCAAACCCATGACCTCTGTGACACTGGTGCAGTGCTCTAACCAAGTAAGCTAATAAGTGGACTGAGAGCTGATCATAAAATCATATACCAGTATTTAGAACTAACTGTTATTATTTGACCTTGGTTTTTTTAGGCCCAGAAAGCAATTCTTGACCAGGAGCTTGACCTGATAACACATCAGAATACTGGGGAAGACACAACAGAACTGAAGAAAAAAGTTGAAGAACTAAAGCAAGAGGTAGTTACTTGAGATACATTCAATCTGTTTAGCGCATAATTTCTAGTATTTTGATAGATGTGAAATATTATGTGCAAATTCTTTATTGTAACATTTCTCACATCTGTATTAAATGAAATGATGAATATATGATTGAATTTCACATGGTTCAATGTTAATTTTGTTGATCCGCAATGTTGCAGCTTTTGTTCATCAACTTTTAAACAATGTGTCATGGTACATGGTACATGTACGTTGAAATGGGCCATTAAACATGTTGAATGCTGATGAATGAGAATAGGAAATAAAGATGGACTTTATTTTAGCAATTACACCCCAACAATGCTTGTAGTTGTTAATCAAAGAATGTTTTAACTTGTTAAACCCAGTGTCTTCGGCTTTTAGTAGTTCACAGCAGGAAAATATCTACAATACTTGTCAAAAATCTTGAAACACATTGTGTGTTTCCCCTTCTCCAATTTTGATTTGGGTATTACAGTCGTCTCAGTGACCCAAAATATGCGTGGCTCAACATTGGGGAAGGGGAGGGTCACATTTGGGTGAGAACAAAAGTGTGAAGAGTGAATAAGAAATTTTAGAGAAAATTCAAGAGAAGCGGTGTCTGTTTCATTGATTTGTGAGGAGTATTGTAGTTACTGACCATGCACGCTTTTTAGGCAAAATCTCTTGGCTTACTGGATCCACCCACAAAGGGACGAGGGAGAGGAGTTGTAAGAGGACGTTGCAGAGGAACACCAGTGAGAAGCAGACCACTTCCAAGAACAACACGGGTGTGGACAAGAGACAGTGCTTCATTAGACCATCGACCGAGGCGGATCAGTGTTGGAGAAATAACAACTGAACAGAAGGAAGATATTACAGAGCACTTTAAAGTAAGTACTATGAGGTTTTGTTATCGCTACTTTTCAAAGCTGAAATGAATCTATGTTGCTCAGGAGTATAACCAATTGTCAATGGTGAAAGAAGGGCACATCTCACTTGGTTGCTGACTATTGAAGTAATAATGTCCAAAACGAAACACAGGTTTCATCCAATGTCATCTCACCAAAAATATCAATACCAAACTCAAGATAGAGTGTTTCATGTTATATTCAGACACTGAGAAGTGGTTTGAAAAAAGGGTTTTGCAAGACCCACTTTGAGGATTCTGGATATTGGATGAAACGCTGAGTGGAATTTAATACAAAAATGTATAGCTTGTCTCACAGACGAGAAGTTTTGAAGAAATTCGACGCTTAAGTTCACGAAATCATATGGGAGTTGCCACTGATATCCAAACTACTGTCAAAGTAGTGATTTCCTTGGTTTGTTATCATGGATTACTTTTTGAGAATCAAGCTCATCTGTGGCCTTTGATTTACATTTGAATTTATGAGATTTGATTTCTTCCTGTCCTAGTTCCCTTATGTATTGAGACTGAGAATTCATAAAGCTGCAGCCAATGAAAGTTTGATTTATTAGAGTAAGGAAAAATGCACAGGAAAAAATAACCGATTCCCATTTTTGGATATTTTAGGGTATTTAAAGAATACCCATAAAAATCCCACATTTGGCAAAGTGAGACAAGTCCAGATCATGGAATTCCCAACCAAGTTCCCTGATTGGGACTAAAATGTCTCACTCTTCCAAATTTGGGATTTCTGTGGGTATTCTTTAAGTACCCTAAAATATCCAAAAATGGGAATCTGTTATTTTTTCCTGTGATGGGGAATTTACACAAAGCTAAATGTAATTTAGGTTAAGTTAAACACGGAACCATGGTGGCCAGCAGTTTTTCCCCAGAGTTGGATGCAGGGTGACCAGGTTTAATGTTGTGGTGCAGTGCAAGGGGCCAAGAAGAATGTTACAATGGAGCTTTTGGAGTCACTAAGAAGTTATGTTTGTACATCTGTTTTCTTCCTGTAGGAATTCGGTATTGTTGACAATGAAGAATATATTGATGATAAGGAAACTCTCAACTTGACTTTTAGGACAAGAAAAGAAGCCGAAATTGTAAGAATAATGGACATTCTCCGTTTGCTCAATGTTTATTTCTAATATCTATTTGTCTTACTTCCCACCCAATTCTTCCCTCCCTTCTTTGTAGGGGTTTGCTTTGGATTTCTGGGTGATAGCAGTGCAGTGGGGTACATTGCATTGAGAAATCCATGTTTTTATTTTTGTTGTTGTTGAATTGTAGACTGTGAATAGTGTCCATTTTTCTCCAAACGCAAGGCTGTGCTGTAGCTAACCCTGGTGACCCCTGGTGCCTAACTTTGCACCTGGGCCACTAGAAAATCTTTAGTTTTTTCATACAAATCATATGCTGGCACCCCGGAGTTTACAGGTTTAGAGCACTGGGCTCCCTTCAATTTTCCTTAGAGCACTGCCTTGAAACTCAGTTGAGTGATAACGTGTGAGTGCAGGTGTGCAGCTACTCCCCTGTCTTAGCATTCAGTCACACACAAGGCCATTTTTTATCTCCCCTATTTACTGGACAGATTAAGAAGACAGAGATTTCTTGTGGTCTTGTTGAATTGGGAAATCCATGAAACGATTTGAAAGCGGGCCTTTTGCTATTGACTATACCCTACGATATAAAATTTAGTTTTGAAGATTTGCAGTTATTCATAGATATTGTTTTATACTGTCACTGGCTTTTCAATCAGAGCTTCATACATGAATTGTATCATTTTTAGGCCTTCAATAAAGGCAAGACATTCAAAGGCAGAGCCTTGAAGGTGTCTTGGTATCGACCTCCATTGACGCCTACATCACCTGCAACAGCAGTACCAACTACACCTACGACTCCTACAGTGCTCAAGAAAGTAGAGGAAGAGTTAGGACTGGATATTGATGCTGAACTGGTAAGAACTCTATGAAATAGAAACGTTTTCTGTATATGTTGTGGTGTCCTAAACAGAGTTCTAAAGTGATAACGTTATAAAAATTAAATTTGTGAAATTATGGGATTTGTCAGGATAGCCTGAAAGAACAACATCCAAGAGGCCTACTTGCCAAAAACTGGCATTGGGGGGCAAATTGGCGCTGAGATATTAGCCCAGTTATACTCTGATGACTCCAAGCAAATTCTTCTAAATTTGACTTGGGTCATAACGTTATGACACGAGTCAAATTTATCTATTTGTAAAGGCCATATCAATGCGCATGCCCACTGAATATCCCATCTTTTACTAATATGAATAGAGAGTAAGGCTTTCTTGTCAGGGAGTCTTTCACAACCCTTTTGCTTTGCTTTTAGACAACGGTTTGTTTCGGAACAATTCATTTTCTTTTTGTTTTTTTTTAGGGAAAACATGAATTTGATGCGGATGCAGACGAAGCTTTGCTTCTTGGAGAAGATTTTGATGAAGAGGATGAAGAAGAAGATGAACGATCGTGGAAAAGATAGTTACAACTATTGTTTAAGTTGATGCGGCCAAACTGCGTCGAAGCATTGTAAAATAATTGTTATGATTTAACTGTTTCAGACTTGTAACTAAAGTGAGCTTAGCTTTCTGTAACATTGTAACATCAAGCGTTAACTTCAGTGGATTCTAATCGTCTTTGAAAGAGCAAGATTTCTTACGTCCATTTCTTCTAAAACGCACTGTCATCGCTCTCCAAAGTCAAAGGCTAAGAGATAATACCCATCTCAATGTTTTATTGAAAGATACTTGTCTTTGACCTAGTTTAGGTTTTACTGTCTGTTGTATTAATTTTATAGTACTGTAAGTTCAGTTGTAGTGAATACTTCTTTGTTTTTTGTGAAGGCCTGAGGATGCAAAAAAAATGAAAGTGATGCTTAAAAAAGATATCATTGGAAAAGAAAAGCAGAAAAATATTGAAAGTAAAAAAATGACTTCAGATTCACAATAAAAAATACTTCACATTTGAAAAGATTAAAGAAAACAACAACAGCAACAACAACAACAAAAAACAAACCAAAAATCTTACAAAAGTCAATGACCAATTCTTGTATATGGTCACATTGTGACTGGTGTTCAGAATAGCACTAGAAAAGTGCTTTTGCTGACTGGACGAAGAAAGTTGAAGGTAGAAGAAGTGGCAAGAGTAGGAAAACAGAAGCCAAGAAGAAGATACAAGATTTGAATGGAGTAGGATGAAGTGTTCTAGGAGCAGTAACAACGTTCGGGACAAGTGGGGTGAGTATACTGTACAATTTACACATGGTAGTTTCATATCTGTTCCAAATCTCCAATCAATGGTACAAAAAACTGAGTTTCCTCCAGTATAAAGATAACTCCTACGGGCATCTACCCATAAAAAATACTAGACGCCACATGGGCGTGACACTACTGCAAGGGCTATCCCCTCCCCCCCACACAGCCCGGCTCTACATGCAACATTTTTCCAATAACCGTCTTATCTTCTTCGCTGAGTGAGTTTGAGAGGCTAATAGGCATGCATATGACGGAACACTTTAAGCCTATCTTTGTTGGTTTTGCTTTTACTTATCGAAAATTTTAATTTTAATTTTTTTTGGCCCTCGATGCTATCAGGGAGCTTAAGCAACTCGGGCGGTGACGGCGGCTAAAACATCACTCAGTAAAAGGTCTCAAACTCCATTGCTCTTATTCCATCTCGTTCAATTTGTCAAATGTTGGCGAATTTTTCTGGAGTACCTTATGTTTTATGAATGATCCAAACTTTTCTATCGAGAGCTGCAAGCTTATGAATTATGCAGACGACTCGAAAATTCACACTTCAGATCCCTTTCCCCAGCTTGGAGCATTTTAATTGAGAATTAGCCAATGGGCTGCACTTGTGTTTTAAAACAAGGCGAATCTTAAGAAAGGGCCGGGCAATTGTGCTGGGAAACATTAGAGAGCTTAAGCATCACGTTTACTCGAATTTGTACCACGTGTCCAAGTTTCCCCTTTACTTGTCGTTTACTGTTAATTATTTCTACACACGAGTTAGTGTTTCACGCAATTTTTCATCCAGAAGATTTTGAGCTGTTTAATCTGCTCATTTTCTATTTTGAGAAATTCTCAACTTGAATCTGATCATGAAGTTTGCCGTATGCGTGAAGCTTAAACTCCCTACTAATCACCATATGAAGGATAAACTGATTCACATTTTTAAATAAATCAAGTTATATTTACGGCGTTACATTAGATAACAGGCCCAAATGTGATGCCCACATTGCCGATATTTGTCATAAAGTAAGTGCGCTGAACAGTTAAAAAATATTTAACCTTGTAGGATACAGAGGCACTGTATTGCGGCTTTAATACATTTTTCCTAACTTTTTTATTGTAGCTATGCAAGCCTTGCACTATTGTGGGGCTAGAAACACTAGCAAGCTAGAGGAAATGAGCGCCGGGAACGGGCTCATAAATTCATTTCCCAGGAAAATTCTACATCCTGTCATGCTAGGCTAACACAGCACATTGGAAACCCTTAGGTTCCAGGTCATGTTACTAACTATAAGCATTTGTATTTTAGCGAAAAGCAACGGCGAGCATTAATCGTCTTATTAACGTTGCCTAGTCCCCACTAGGCCTCATTATTCCGCGCGGCCATTTCGTTTCGGGTCACGTGGTCCGAGCGAAGAAGTGGTCACCGATGTGAATTGACCGAGAAGGCCTGGTAAAACTCCGTGCGGGGACTAGGCAACAATTAACGTAAGAAAGTTACTGCCTTTACCTAGGGTGAAGAGCACCAAATGTGGCCTAAAGCGTTTGAGTTATCCTTTAGCATCCTTTGTGTGATATACAATACATTACAAAAAGTTTGTTTAAACATATCCTTATCGGGGTCTTTAATGTTGATTTATAATCAGTTGCAAAGAGCAGAAAAACCTAGATAAGATTGTAAACTACTAAAACATATATGTAAATACTAAAAGTAACGTTTCAATACTGCTTTTATGCCGAGTCGTGTTTGCGACTCCTGCAATAGTCTTAGTTCGAGAAAAAACGTTTACCCAAAATTCAACAAGTTGCAGAAAACGCTGTGACGCGAATAAAGACAGTTAAGGTTGGTGAGCGCTCCTGGCAATTGACTAAACAAATTTTGATCCACTGCTAAGAGGTATGATTCAACAAAACTGTACACTTATTACCTCCCGTTTATTTCATAACGTTATTTTTTGTGTCGATTTTTCCGCCGAAACACTTAGCCAAGCAAAGAACGCGTCGCCCTTATGGTAGTTTGCTCCGCACAGCACGTAATTCATTCAAGCTGCTTGTCGTATCTCCGTGATCACCCAGTAGTTTAACTCTCATGTCTGATCCTTTTTGTAAAAATTCCAATGCTCCTTTCAAGTCTCCCATTCCATGCTGCACAACACCAAGCTGGTGGTAGCTGCGTGCTGTTTCTTCGTGATCACCAAGCACATTTGATCTCATGTTCGTTGCCTCTTGTAAAGAGTCACAAGCGCCTCATATGTCTTCCATGTCGCGCAGCACTAAACCAAGCATGTGGCAGCTGGACGCCGTGTCTTCGTGGTCAGCAAGCAACTTTGATCTCATGTTTACTGCTTTTTGTAAAGAATCTAGAGCTGCTTTTAGGTGTCCCATTTCAAATTGCACTCTACCAACCTCACAGTGGGTGCGTGCCGTATTTTCGTGATCATCAAGCAAATTTGACGTCAATTCCTGTGCTGTTTCTAAAGACTTCAAAGCTCCTTTGAGGTCTCCCATTTCACCCTGTTGTACACCAAGACTGTAGTAGGTGGCTGCCGTGTATTCGTTGTAACCAAGTAGATTAAAATTTATTTTCGCCGATATTTCGTACGACTCCAAAGCGTTTTGAAGGTCTCCCATGTCACGTTGCACTTGACCGAGTATGTGGTAGCTGGACACCGTGTCTTCGTGATTGCCAAGCACATTTGATCTTATGTTTGCCGCTCTTTGTAAAGAGTCCAAAGCTCCTTCAAGGTCTCCCAAGTCACGCTGCACTAATCCAAGGAGATGATAGCTATACGCCGTGTTTTGGTGATCACCAAACACACGTGATCTCATGTTTGCTGCTCTTTGTAAAGAGTCCAAAGCTCCTTCAAGGTCTCCCATGTCACGCTGCACTAAACCAAGCCAATAACAGCTGTTCGCCGTGTCATCGTGGTCTCCAAGCACACTTAAACTCATGTTTGCTGCTCTTTGTAAAGAGTCCAAAGCTCCTTCAAGGTCTCCCATGTCACGCTGCACTAAGCCAAGCCAATAGTAGCTGTTCGCCGTGTCATCGTGATCACCAAGCACACTTAAACTCATGTTTGCTGCTCTTTGTAAAGAGTCCAAGGCTCCTTCAAGGTCTTCCATGTCACGCTGCACTAATCCAAGGAGATGATAGCTATACGCCGTGTGTTGGTGATCACCAAACACACGTGATCTCATGTTTGCTGCTCTTTGTAATGAGTCCAAAGCTCCTTCAAGGTCTCCCATGTCACGCTGCACTGAACCGAGCCAACAGCAGCTGTTCGCCGTGTCTCCGTGATCACCAAGCACACGCGATCTCATGTTTGCTGCTCTTTGTAAAGAGTCCAAAGCTCCTTCAAAGTCTCCCATGTCACGCTGCACTAATCCAAAGAGATGGTAGCTATACGCTGTGTGTTTGTGATCACCAAGCACACGTGATCTCATGTTTGCTGCTCTTTGTAATGAGTCCAAAGCTCCTTCAAGGTCTCCCATGTCACGCTGCACTGAACCGAGCCAACAGCAGCTGTTCGCCGTGTCTCCGTGATCACCAAGCACACGTGATCTCATGTTTGCTGCTCTTTGTAAAGAGTCCAAAGCTCCTTCAAGGTCTCCCATGTCACGCTGCACTGAACCAAGCGAACAGTAGCTGGTCGCCGTTTGTTGGTGATCACCAAGCACACGTGATCTCATGTTTGCTGCTCTTTGCAAAGAGTCCCAAGCTCCTTCAAGGTCTCCCATGTCACGCTGCACTAATTCAAGCCAATCGTAGCTGTGCGCCGTGTCTTCGTGATCACCAAGCACACTTGATCTCATGTTTGCTGCTCTTTGTAAAGAGTCCAAAGCTCCTTCAAGGTCTCCTATGTCACGCTGCACTGAACCAAGCCAACAGTAGCTGTTCGCCGTGTCTTCGTGATCACCAAGCACACTTGAACTCGCGTTTGCTGCTCTTTGTAAAGAGTCCAAAGCTCCTTCAAGGTTTCCCATGTCATGCTGCACTAAGCCAAGCCAATAGTAGCTGTTCGCCGAGTCTTCGTGATCACCAAGCACACTTGATCTCACGTTTGCTGCTCTTTGTAAAGAATCCAAAGCTCCTTCAAGGTCTCCCATGTCACGCTGCACTAATCCAAGGAGATGGTAGCTATACGCCGTGTGTTGGTTATCACCAAGCACACGTGATCTCATGTTTGCTGCTCTTTGAAACGAATCCAAAGCTCCTGTTAAGTCTGCCATGTTATTCCGAGCAACACCAAGGTTGTGGTAGCTCTGTGCCGTGAATATGTGATCTCCACGAAAATTTAAATCCATATCTGCTGCTTTTTGGAATGCTTCGACAGCTGACTTATGGTCACCCATACGATTATAGATAACGCCTTGCTCATGAAGGTTGTCGGCTGTATCGGGATGATGTCCTAAAAATTCTTTTCTCAATCTTAAGCTCAACTGTACAGACTCCAATGCCCCTCTCAGGTCTCCCGCTTCACTCTGCACTCTACCAAGCCAGAAGTAGCTTTTAGCAGTGTCTGTCTGATACCACTGACTAAGAGGAAATTCTTTGGCAGAGAGTAACATTTTTTTGTCGACGACCTTCTCCCTTCTTTCTGCTTCTTCTATTGCTATGTCATAAAGGCGCTCAAATAATTTTTTTTCGCCATGCAGTGCAACATAGAGAAATGATTTTGCCTCAGATAACAAGTCTACAGCCTTGGAGTAGGTCATGTCTTTTCCAGGTCCATTAGAAAGGGATGAAATGATGCACTCACGCCGATCAAGGAAACTTCTGAAAGCGACTGAATAACGTCCCGTCAGAAAGTTTTCATTAGCAACTTTACACCTCGCAATGTAATAGTCGTAAAACTGAAGCTGTGCATTCCTAAATACAGCTTCAACTGCCTCGTCATATTTTATTTCTTTCCCAATAAAGGACCTTAAAAGTGAATGCACCGAAAAAAGGCTAAAATTGTCTCCACAATCCATCAAGGACTTTCGCTCCAAACTCCGGATGATTTGTTTGGTCTTAACTTCTGTTTTCGCTTTCAATATGGCTTGAGCTTCCTCTAATCCAAACCTCCCAGGAAAAACGGAAAGCGAAATAAATGCGTCTCTATCGCGAATCATGAGCCTTTTGAAAGATGTTTTTATTACAGAATTCAATTGACACTCATCGGGGAAGCTTTCACAATCCAAAACTTCGAGGAGCGTTGAATTGTTTATTTCTTCTAAAAGTGCATTTACAGAGATATTTGTTCCCTTAATAATGCTGCACATCAGTCGCATGGACATAGGAACGTTACCACATTCCCTCACTATGCAATCGCAGTCACATTCCGATGCATCTGGTAACAGCAGCCTTACTAGATCTGCCGAAGAAATTTCATCCAATACATTAATTTTCTCTAGGTAGATGGAGAGCTTATGGCTTAAGTGGTCTAGACTTTCACGAGTAGTTAGCAGAAGCTTCATTTGTTTGCAATGATTGAAGATCTCCTCAATAAAACGAAGCACGTGTTCTTTTCGATTGGTATCCCCAGATTCAAGTAAGTCATCTGCGTTGTCTAATATTAAGACAAAAGGGTTTTGAACTTGTTGTAAACATTGAATTATTAAGTGAGACGATGAAATATGGCCGACCTGTTTATCGTCTGCGAACATACTTAGCACCTTTGATATTAAATCCTCCTTACTTTCCATTCCACGAGCGGAAGCAAAGAAAACTGGAATATTCTTCTCTTGCAAGTGATGAGCCACCCTGATGGCCACTGACGTTTTTCCAAATCCAGGTGGACCCCAGACATTAACCAGTCGAGTAACTTCATCTGTTAAATGATGTTCTACTGCTTTACATTCCTTGTCGCGGCCAACAAAGTTTGGTATTTCATCAGGTATGGATGAGTCGGGCACAATTACATCTTAGAGAGAAAATAGAGGCAAGTGATAATGCGGCGAATGATTATTCCTTAAATTTGCGATTAATGATAAAGTGAAAAAGATAGTATTTTACATAACCGCGCCAGGTTGATCGTTCTGATATGATAAATTACTAGTGGCTACCAACATGACATTTTTCTGGAAAATCTATTCTAAGGTTAACGAAGAAGAATGTTAAACTTTCGGGCCGTAATTTGCAGGTTTCTAAGTTAAATTAAAAAGGCGAGTTTTTCTTAGAATTCTCAGGCCACTTAAGGCATGACTCGACCTAATTAAATATGCATTTTAGTAAGAATCAGTGATCCTGAAACGTGAACTACAAATGTGGTTCAACGAAAAAAAAAACTTGAATGGTGATTACTTCTACACGTGATATTTCTTCGTCAAAGACGTCACATAAAAACGTTTTCCTGGAAACATTATTCATCCTCTTGGCTATTTAAGTAATTTTATTGTCACGTGACCCTTTTCTTTTTATTTACCGATTACTGAATAACATGAACACACATACAAGGTGAATTTTTCAGAACCTTTTTATTGGCCTCTGAAATGTACCTAAAAGAACTTGTTGTTCTTTCCTTATCCTTCCCCCATTTTAGAGTAAATATTTTTATCGTTAATTCTCAATTATCAGTCACGTGACGAAAATTTGAGCTTCGTAAATGTCTTATATTGCTAAGGCCATTAAGCTACATTTGTAGTTTAATTTTTAGGATCATTGATGTAAGCAAACCGTTCTAAATAGCAGTCATCTAGACTTATGCCTGAAGTGGCCTGAGTTTGCAAACCTGTTCTGTTTTTTCTGGATACTGTTGAGTATGCTTTGTTTGGAAACATGCATAGTAGAGTGCCACAACACAGTTCTTTTTAAATGCATATGAAAGGGAATGTAAGCGTGCAAAACTAGCCAAGTAGTTCCCTTCACGAGGAGGAAGATCATGTAGATCATGACGAATCCAAGTCAGCTAGTGTTTCGCATATATAGAAACAAGCTTTGCTACTCTTACCTTTTGTGATTCTTGCCTGCACTGCTTGTTTTACGTCATCGACATTTGTTTTCACTTTAGCTAGTTCCAACCCAACATGTTCAACTTTTGCCATAATATCTGAACCGACGTTTTTCACTTGAGTTTTAACAGCTGTAACTTTCTTCTCTACATCTGACCTGACCTCTTCCACTTTCGTACGTACATCTCTTGCCGCAGTTACCACATCTGACCCGACTTCTTCCACTTTCTTTTCCACATCTGTTACTGCAGTTGTTACGTCTGACCCCACTTCTTCCAGTTTATTCTGCATATCTGTTACTGCCGTTTTCACATCTGACGCGACTTCTTCCACTCTCTTTTCCACATCTGTTACTGCAGTTGTTACGTCTGACCCCACTTCTTCCAGTTTATTCTGCATATCTGTTACTGCCGTTTTCACATCTGACGCGACTTCTTCCACTTTCTTTTCCACATCTGTTACTGCAGTTGTTACGTCTGACCCCACTTCTTCCAGTTTATTCTGCATATCTGTTACTGCCGTTTTCACATCTGACCCGACTTCTTCCACTTTCTTTTCCACATCTGTTACTGCAGTTGTTACGTCTGACCCTACTTCTTCCACTTTATCCTGCATATCTGTTACTGCCGTTTTCACATCTGACCCGACTTCTTCCAATTTATTCTGCACTTCCGCTACTGTCATTTCTATGTCTGACGCGACTTCTTCCACTTTTAACTGCACCTCTCTTGCTGCCGTTTTTACATCTGATCCAACAGTTTTAATTTGAGACTCGATCTGGACGAGGTGATCACTGATTTGCTTGAACTTGATGGCAGCATCCTTTTCTCTCTTCAAGTCTTCTTCCAGCTTTTGAAGCCTGGAAGTAGGAAAGTCGTCTTCGTCAAGCTTTCCGATCTCATCAATCCTGGTTGTATCTTGTCCAAGTGCAGCGAATGCATCTCTTGCCAACTGTACATAGTGAGCAAAAGTTTTCTTGTCAATCTTTTGGGTGCTTGTCTGGTGACAGAGTGTGTTGCGTAGCAAACGAAGCTGGTCCAACGATAACGCAAACGTCTCGGCCTGGTTTCCAGAAGGGCTTAAAACGACAGGGTGAAAGATTCCAATTGGTAAACGACGGGGCTTTACGTACAGTTTGTCTAAAGAAGCGGACCTGCCACTTCCGTCTGGCATGGCAAAGCTCTGAGCATAGAGAGTGGCTTCAAACAGCGCTGTGCAGTCCCACTCATGATATGATTTATCGGTTGGAACATATTTTGTCTTTCCACCCTCTTTATTGAGAAACATGTTACGAACCAGAGGTGAGTCGTCCCATTTTTGAAAGCCTGGTGTAGGAGCGACTTGATTGTCCCACATTTTAACAAAAACGTGGCGGAGGACGGGTGGAAATTCATCAAGTACGACAGATGAGAACTTGAAAAAGTTCAGTTGCTCCAACGAAAATGTAGCCATTGTGAGGATAATAACCTTAACTACTGTATCATATATTAGACGGCAAGATACCAAACCGTCTTCGAAAAATCAACCATTGAAATGGAGATTATCTGCAAAGATAAAGATAATAACATAGAAAACTTTGAAATGCCCGTAAAGAAATTTAATATGTAAATGTATTTCTTGCGAAAGTTACAACTAAGTAATTTTTTTTCTAAATTCATTGCTGATTATCGCAATTTTTCATAAAAAACTACTGATTAAACAGATTGGTTTCTTACGTATAACGCACCCAACACTAGCCATCCCCTGGTGGGGGATCCCAGGCAAGGAAGGAGACAAAAACACAAATAAAGAAGAAATCCCCTCTCCCAGAGGGCTACAATAATGAACCATGTGAGACCACAGTGAGCTTGAGAGAAGAACATAAAGATGAACCAGATCACCTGATTTGTAAACAAAGCATTACCTTAAACGAATTATGCAACTATAAATAGCAATTGAAAATTCAAGAGTCAATTTATCAATTTATTCAAAACCACTATAAAATCCTGCTGGTATATAATACATAGTTGAATCACCGCTAGGTTGGCTTTGGATATTCACAGAATGTTTATCACGATACTTAGAAACATTTAACTTCCCATGTGCTGCAGTGAGAATTCGCAGGCATTTAATTGATTTAAACAAGTTGGGTTAATCTTAAAGCGTTACGAAAGTAGTAAAGTAGGTAAAGTAGGGAAGAAAATATACTTTTTTTGAAGTGGAATAAACAGCGATTATGTCATAGCGTTTTTGTCGTTATCTCATGGTTAAAATGTGGGGAGTGTCAGTGAAGGTCAATGAGATCAGATCATGTGCTATTTTGGGTATTTTAACCAGTTCGACAGGTTTTCTAGCTAGTTCTAGGGCTATGAAGGTCTTAATTTAGGTTTGTTGACTACAACCACAAAAAGTAGTAGTACTGATTTCTGCCGTTTCACTGTCTATCAAATTGTTCCAGTTGCTGTTCACTGATTCCTGGCGCGAAATCGAAATGAGAACGAAGGCAAACTAGTTCATTTTACCACGAAAAACTTTTTAATATCCCTGCCCCTTTTTTGCCTTTCCTCGTTTCTAGTGCTTTACCACCAACACCCTCATATTTTTATTTTATTTCCTCCTCCAACACCTACACAGGATCAGTCGACTCTATATCTACCCCACATCGATCCGTCATCGATCCCATACCAACCGTACATTCACTTTCTTTTCAACACAATTGCATAATTGCCCGGTGTCCCTAATCTAAGAAATGGCCTGTGATTGTTGTTTATCAACGAAGCATTCAGCACTATCACGAAGCTTTGAGAATTGCTCGCTGTTTTCTCACGGTTCAGGTTTGTTTTCTTGGCGTGTTCAGAAAATGACGTCACAATCACAGAACAATAGCTTTGTCACAAGAGCATAAATTTTGTAATGGCGGACGCGAAAAACCTACATTTTCAAGCTCAATATTTTCACTTAGAGGACGCCAAAGTCCATTTCAATGACCGAAACAGGTACAGCCACTTCTGATAAGCTGAAAAGAAAGCGTTTTTGTGACAAACTTGACATTAAATTTTGATCGTAGTAGCACTTTAAGGATGTTTTGAAAATAGCAGTCTCTCGTTATCCACAAAAGACTAAAACGAGCCGGAATTCGATACAACTGTAAATTCAGTTGAAAAATATTTCACTTGACTATTCATATAACTTTTAAAAAGTTAAATCAGCTTCCGCCAAACATGTTGAATTAGGTTGCTTTGACGACGGTTTGAGTCTCGCTGATCAAAGAAGATTGAATCGCAGTCAACAATAACCAGCACCGTACAAAGAAAGTATTGTGAGGACTCAAGCAAAACTAGCTACGAGAGAATGACTGGGCAACCGACAATTCGACTAACAATATATAGACGCCCAAAAGACGGATTACAAAACGCACCAATGGCGTTAAGAGTGTCCGTACTCAATAACATTACGACTTAACTGACAAACGTGCAATGACATCTCCACTTAAAGAATTAGAATTGCTGTTAAGCGATAAATACCATCAACGGGGGTAAAACACTTACTTTGACTCTCAAGGTGACTACCTAACAGGTTGTTGAAACAGTTCTACGTTCACCCAGAGCCCATGCTCCATCTACTTATGAAATACAGTACTGACTCCAAGGTTCAACCCTTCACAAAAAAAAATGTACATGACCCTCCATGACCAATCTCACTGGCGCATAAGACAACAAAACTTGCTACCAGTGGGAACCTATAGAAATTTTAATCGATATCGATGATCATGTTACAGTTAACGTGATGTAGAAGGTTCAAGGATAGAGACAAGTATAACTGAAGTTAGTCCTCAAAATTACCAAACAGTCACGCTTTTGAAAGGAGTTTTTGGTGATTTTCATGGATCTTTTGAGTAGTGACGCTCTAAAAGGCAGGAAAGAGAGAGCGACAAAATGACTAATGATAATTGCAAAGCCGATTTAACTGACGAACAAAGCTTACAACAAGATTAGAATATCTGTAAAGCGATGGATGCCGAATTCTTCTTGAAAAATATATGCCGAAACCACTGTGGAACTCCGGGACAAATGATTTGAGGCCAAAACTAATTATTCTTTTTAAATGCGATTTAACCCTGCAAGTACACGTATGAGAGCTTTAATGGCAGGGATAAAAAACGTTATTAAATCGAAATGAAGAGTTGAATGAAATCAAAGAACGTTTTGGTGATCTGGTTGGTTTTTTTAGGAAGAAGATCAAAAGGGGCTAAATTACCTCAATTTGATTGTTCATTCATATCTGTTTAATATTTAATGTATAAAGTTTGTTGAACAATGGTAAGTTTGGTTTTGTTCACTTCAGTGCCTCTTTAAATAAAGAATGAACTGGCAAAGGATTCAGTTCACTATCCGAAGTAGTTAGTAAAGTTGAATTAAAGTTTGTCAACTTTTGAATAACACTGTTTTTATGGCGACAAAAGGCACTTGTTATAATTGAATTAATTAAATAATATGAAAACATCCAAATGTTGTTTCCCTTTTGTCTGTGACTGCTTCTGTCAATGCATGACTGATTTTCGCGAAAAATCAATTCTTTTAGAAGGCGTGAGCGGAACTTTCTCGAATGCAAAGGCGAAAGTGAAAGACGATAGTGAAGGTAAACTTCAAATGCATCCTCTATATCTGCCCTGCACATTACTACCAGGTGATAGTTGTTATCAAACCAAAAATAAGCGCAAGAACAATCCTGGGGTATAAATTAACATGGAGAAAGTAAAAATTAGTATGCTTTATCATTGATGCAGACTCTATATTAACTTCCGCTTTCAAACTTAAAACGCATCCCTAGCTCAGCTGACAAACAGAGAAATAAAGAACCATTCACTAGAAGTACGAACTAACTGTAGTGACACTTGGGAAAGTACCAAGAAAAGATACAACTTGCAAAAAGTAGCTAGAAATCAAGTCAAAGCAAGTGGCCAACAATCGCGTGATCAATAGTGTGTTAATTAAATCACTTGGATCTAGAGAGAACTTAACTTTGATTGCGCTTTTAAATGGCAAAGAAATATGCACAATTCTAAAAGGACAGAATACTATTTGACATACCGATGTGCTAAGTCAAGTCCAATGCAACTGTCATCAGTCCACTTAAGGTGTTCGTGTGATAGTCAGCAGAATTTTCGAATGCTGATTAGCCGCACAAATAATAAAATAAGATTGGCCTAAAGAGTCTGGATAAAAGAATACAAGATGAAAAGCGTTGAAGCGTTAGCTCCAGCCTCGTTTCCAGGGCCCTTAAGGTGGCTGAACACAGTTTTGCGGGCGGTCAGCGGTAACTAACGTGACTGCGCGTGTTTAAATTAGACAAACAAACATGGCGGGGAAAAAGCAATGGTACACAGAAGGCGATTTCTCAAGATCTACTCATTAACATTTTGTGATATTTGGCAGAGTTTTTACTTTTATTGTATTTTAAATAATGAGAACTTTAAAATGGAAGATGAACAGACGAAATTTTTGATACATTTAATAATTGCAGTACCATTATATTATTGAGTATCTAAAATCCCGTCTGTTAAAATTTGGTAAAATAAGTTTCAAATGATAATGATTAATTATAATAAGCTGTGTGCAAGTTTATAGGAAAATCTAATGAGCGAATTTTTTGTAAACTGAGCAAAAGTGAAATATTAAGGCTGTATTCAATCGTTCATGTTGCCATGGAAACTAGGAAAAGGTCAAGTTTTACCCGTCAATCAAAATTTTTTATCAGTGTATTTTTCACTTGCCAAGTTTCAGCTTGTGAGCTCCAACCTTTCTCTTGCTATGATTTGGCAAATGACATATACTCATAAACTGCCAAAACTGTGTTCAGACACCTTAAGTTTACCAAGACCGGCGTAGACACAGGGAACCCAGAATCACAACAACCTTTTCGAAGCCAACTTATAAGGATTTGTGTGGGAATTTATCGCAAGATAAGACAAATTAGGGAAATTGTTGAATATCGAAGATTTACGTTATTCGTTCTACAAGGACAGCCTCTTAAAAAATAGGGCGTATCTCAAATGATATTAGTGAACTGTTGATAACAGATGCGCGTCATCGCTTCATAGACCGGCCAGTCAATACTTTCCGTTACCAGAGTTATGTACCGGCTCCAGAAATGCTGTATGAAACCAGAGCAGTCTCTGTTTTTGCCCGCACAACTCGCTACTTTCGCATACCTACATATTGCACTTGCTCATAGATTTTCGAGCAGAAGGGAGACTGATCGCATTCTAGGTCCTTGGACGTTTGCGTAGGAACGAGATCTTAGTGACCAATTTCAACTTTCTCCTAAGAAAATCAATATGTAGTAAAGACGAAAGGTTCTTGAATGATCCCTACAGGAAAATGATTTGATCTTTTACCAAATTCTCCCAAATCAATTCTTGGAGGAAATGTATAAAGGTCAGTCTCAAGAATAATTCCATTTTCTTTAATCTT